GAAGCAGGCTCCAGGCTCTGAGCTGTCAGCACAGAGCCCGACATGGGGCTTGAACCACAGACCGTGAGATCATGACCTGAGCCAAAGTCAGAAGTTTAACTGACTGAGCCACCCACGCACCCGAACCAGCAGTCTCTTGATGGACATTTAGTTTTCCATCTTTTGCTATTACAAACAGTGCTGCAGTGAAAACATGTACGTACATCATTTTGCACAAATTTGAGAGTATGCGTAGGATAAAATCCTAGAGGGGGAATTGTTGGACTGGAGGGTTTTTTATACTTTCGATGGCTATTGCCTGACCACCATCCACAGAGATCACTCTTATCAGCAATACATAAGAGGCCCATCTGGCCGGTACAGTGTGTTATCGGACTTTTTTGATCTGTGTGAACCTAGTCAGTTCAAACTGGTATCTTCAGTGTCATTTCCATGTGCCTTTCCTTTACTATCCGTGGGAATTCACTAATTGATGAACTATGTCATTTCGCTCATTTTTCTTGATTGTTAGCTTTGTTTCTAATTGACTGTCAGTGCTTTTAAAATAGAAACGCAGTTCCCTTTTACAGAAATTTTCGTTGATTCTTCACTGTTAGTAGAATGAGACTCCACATTCCTTGGACTGGGATTCAGTGTCCTTCCTTGAGAGCCAGAACTCTGCCTTTAGTTTTTCAACCTCACATCCCTATGTCCTTTTGTGTCATTCCCCTCCTGTTCTCTGGTCAAAGCAATCTGCCCTGTATCTGGTCCCCACGTACGTCGGTGTTTCCCTGCCTTCTTGCCCCTGCTGATGCTGTTCACACCACTTGCAGAGTTTTTCCCTTTGCCTTTCTTCCTAAAGAACTTCTCTTCATCCCTCAAAGCCCAACGGAAATACCATTGTTTCCATATAGGCTGTTCTAGAACCCCCAGGAAGAATGACCCTCCCCTGGGATTGTATTCCTGTAGGACTTGCTTATAGTCCGACTAGAGCACTGACACGCTCTGCCTTGTGTCACTATTTATAAACACGATTTCCTGATACCCACATTTATGTCTTAGCCCCCTCTGCGTCTCCTACACCCTTCAGCCAGAATTGAAAAAAGAGTCCTTATTTCTTCCTTCTTTGGAAAAGACCACAGTGACCTTCCTCTTTAAACTTGTAAAAATATTCACAGCACAAAATTTACCATCGTAACCACTTTCAAGTGTATAGTTCAGGAACATTAAGTACATTCACACTATTGTGCAACCATCACCAAATCCATCTCTGGGACTCTTTTCATCTTGTAAAACTGTAAGTCTGTGCCCTTTAGACACTCGCTCCCCGTGATCTTCTCCCCGCAGCCCCTGGCAACCACCACCCTCCTTTCCGTCTCTACGAATCTGACCGCTGCAGGTATCTCCTCTAAGCAGAATCGTGCGGTATTTATTCCTTGTGACTGGCTTATTTCACTTCGCATAATGTCCTCAACGTTCGTCCATATTGTGGCATGCGTCAGACTTCCTTTTTCAAGCGGGATCATATTCCGTTGGGTGTGTAGATCACATTTTGTGTATCCATTTATTCATCGAGGTCAATTCTACCTCTTGGCTGTTGTGAATAATGCTGCTGTGAACATGGGTGTGTGTCTGTGAGTGTATCTCTTCGAGTCCCTGTTTTCTTCTCCTTTTTTTTTTATTTTTTATTTAAAAAAATTTTTTTTTTCAACATTTATTTATTTTTGGGACAGTGAGAGACAGAGCATGAACAGGGGAGGGGCAGAGAGAGAGGGAGACACAGAATCGGAAACAGGCTCCAGGCTCTGAGCCGTCAGCCCAGAGCCTGACGCGGGGCTCGAACTCACGGACCGCGAGATCATAACCTGGCTGAAGTCGGACGCTTAACCGACTGCGCCACCCAGGTGCCCCTGTTTTCTTTTTTTTTTTTAATTTGTTAATGTTTTTATTTATTTTTGAGACCGAGAGAGACCCAGCATGAGCAGGGGAGGGGCAGAGAGAGGGGGAGACAGAATCTGAAGCGGGCTCCGGTCTCTGAGCTGTCAGCACAGAGCCCGGCGCGGGGCTCGGACCCACGGAGTGTGAGATCATGACCTGGGCTGAAGTCGGATGCTCAACCGACTGAGCCACCCAGGCGCCCCTCGAGTCCCTGTTTTCAACTGTTGGAGGTGTGTAGCCAGAAGTGGAATTGCTGGGTCACGTGGTAATTCTAGGTTTTGTTTTTTTGAGGAACTGCTACACTGTCTTCCTCAGTGGCTGCGGCATTTTACCTTCCCACCGGCCATGTACAAGGATTCCAGTTTCCGAACGTCCTCTCCAGTGCTTGTTAGTTTTGTTTTCTGTTTGTTTTTGGATAACGGCCATACAAATGGGTGTGAGGCGGTCCAAAGTAACCTTTTTGCCATTGTGTTTTGGATGCCTGAATCACAAAAGTTATATTTGGAAGAGCTCTTAGCACCCATACATCAGCGCCTTATGCTGGAAACATTGCCTTGATCTCATGACCAACTTCCAAGATTTCTTCTGGAAGGAAGGTCCATTTTAAGAGGTCTTCGTTGTTTAAAGAACTAGGTAAATACACGGCTAAAATCCTTCTTGGCACCTGGAGCACCATCCGTGGTGAAAGAATCAGACAACACAGTCTGTGGTCCAAGGTTGGCTGTGTGTGATTTGGAGCAGCCGGAACCTCCTGCTGGTCCATCCGTCATGCGTGCTTGTCCTGGCTCAGAACTTCACGGGAGAAAAAGAGGCCAGGTTGGCATCCCCATCATGCTCCCTCTCGGGTGCACTTTGAACTCTTCTCCCGCCCTTTGATTTGGCTGTGTCTGATCACCATTTGAAGTCAGGACAATAGTTTGGAAATGTCTGAAGCTGGCTCGTCCCTTTTTTTCACACCAAGGCAGGTTCGCAGCTCCTGGATTTGTTGCGAACTACCTCCTCCATTTGGAAACCAACTCTGGAATGATTGCCACGGAGCTTTGAAAGCCCCATTTTGATCAGCAGATGCTATGAGTCTGGGGAGAGAGTTGAATGTGGCCTAATCTTCATTCTTGTGTGCGTGTGTGTGTGTGTGTGTGTGTGCGCGTTTTTCTCTAATTGTTCAGTAGTGGTTTTGCCATCTTTCGTGTCCCACGTTCTCTGCTTTATGTAGACGGGTATTTTTGTATCCTAGGAAAATGATTCACATATCTGTTAATATGATGATTTTTTAACTCCCTGTATTTCTTTCTTCTTCTTCCTCTTTTTTTTCCTTTTCAGAATGTCGTGCCGTCTTTGGGCAGGCAGACGTCCCTGACGACGTCGGTAACACCCAAAGCGGAACAGAGCATGGCTTACAAAGACTTTATTTATTTCACCGTCGTTGAAGGGAACGTCCGCAATGTTTCTGAAGTCTCGGTTGAGTATTTATGCTCTCAGCCGTGTGTTGTCAATCTGGAAGCCGTTGTCTCGTCCGAGTTCAGAAGTAGCATCCCTGTGTACAAAAAGAGGTGGAAAAATGAAAAGCATCTTCACACCAGCAGGACACAAATAGTGCACGTGAGATTTCCGAGCATCATGGTTTACAGAGATGATTATTTCATCAGACACTCCATTTCGGTATCCGCGGTGATACTACGCGCCTGGATTACTCACAGATATAGTGGTGGAGACTTGAATGTTAAATGGGAGGACAATTTGCTACATGCCGTAGCTAAGAATTATACTCTGCTGAAGACGGTCCCGCCTTTCGAACGCCCTTTCAAAGACCATCAAGTGTGCCTGGAGTGGAACATGGATTATATTTGGAACCTTCGGGCAAACAAGATTCCCCAGTGTCCTCTTGAAAGTGGTAGGTCATTTGCCTTGCAAGCAACCTCATGCGTATTTCTTCAGATAGCCAGTATCACGAGAGGATGGTGGAGAAGGTTCTTACACCAGCAGTGGGGGGAGGTGAGGAAAATGGCGGGCACACCGAGCCTGTAGTTTAGGACTTTAGGGAGAAAGAGGGAGGAAGTAAAAAGGTGAAGAGGGGCGCCTGGGTGGCGCAGTCGGTTAAGCGTCCGACTTCATTTAGAGTCACAGGTCCACTTCAGCCAGGTTACGACAAGGTCCCGTGAGTTCGAAAGCTCCCCGCTGTCACGGCATGGGCTGATGGGGTGGCTCAGAGCCTGGAGCCTGCTCGCATTCTGTGTCTCCCTCTCTCTGCCCCTCCCCCGCTCATGCCTGTCTCCCTGTCCCAAAATCAGCCAAATCCAAAGGGAAAAATTAAAAAAAAAAAAAAAAAAGGTGCAGTTAAGAGAATGCTGGAAAAATATATCAGGAGGGACCAGACTGCCAGCCAACCTGAAACTGGAGCAGGAGAGCATGCCACCAGCACCAGCCAACTGGAAAACAGGCATTAAAAAGAAATGTTCGTCACTTCATGGGCACTTTGATTGTCAGCTGTTTTAGGGGTGAGGAGAAGGCCTAGTGAGGAGGGACAGGGAACCAAGGCAGTAGGTGTCAGGAGAGGAAATGTCATGGACTTTTTGTACTCAGGCGGGGCACCTGGACTTGATTTCTAGGGCTCTTTCCACTCTCGTGAACTCAGTGAGCAGAATTAGGGAATACTAGTTTGATGACACTATAAATGGGGAGGCAGGTGTGCAGAATATCAGAAGGAAAGATGTGGAAATTAAATGAGCAACAGTGATTTCCAACAACAAGGCCTAGAGGGATTCTTTGAGCAAAAATTAAGGCCACTACCTACCTATAGGTCCAAAGTTCCTAGACTCCAATAAGATGACTGAAGGAAGAGAAGACATGACTGGGAGGATTGAGAGGAGAGGTCTCCATCTGCTGCCAAACGGGCTGGAGATCTCCCCGGGCTGCACCTTGGAAGTTCTCCACTGGCAAGAGCACACCTCATGTGAGCTGATGGTGTCGCCGGCCCTCTGCCCATCCGCCATGGGAGTCAACCCCAAAGCCAATGCCCAGCACCCACTCACCTGGAACCCGCCGTATTTCCGAAGGCCAAAGACCAGCTGCATGAGTCACCCAGGGTTTGCAATGCAGATCGCGCCTCATCCATCCGTCTCCTCCGTCAGGGATCTGTAGGGGTGTGGGGCCCCTGAAATCTCCATTTTAAACACTCCGTGACTCGACTGGTTGTATCTTTAAAGCTTAGGGGTCTTCTAGAGCAGGGGCAGATGCTGGTAGGACTCTGATCTAGAGGTCTGTGGCTCAACCTGTAGCAGGCTTGGTGGCCATGTTCCATAGCCTGTTAGCAGACCCTTCCTCGAGCATGTTTCTGGATGGCAAATCACATCTAGGCTCATCACTCCTAGATGACTTAAGAACACTGGAGAAGATGATGGCCACCTAATGTCTCCTGGGCCACCCCCAACAGCCCCTGCATATACGACAGCTTCCAGCCGCGTACCATATATTATATATGGTCGAAGGTCACTTGCCATAGAAACTTAACACATTTGCCATTAAAAAATAATCTCTTTCTTTCGAATGATTTTCGATTTGCAAGAAGTTGCAAATGGTAGAGTCCCATGTATCCCGCCTCCCTAATGGTGACGTCGTCTCCCCCAACTGTAGTGCAGTATCAAAGCCATCAAACTGATGTGGATCTAATCCTGTTGAACTAGACTGCAGACCTGTTCAGAATCCACCCGCTTTAATGCACTTCAAGTGGTGTTCACGCCGATTCATCCAAGGCGCTTTGTCTGAATGGCCTCGCCTGGCTTATCCCCTGTTTGGTGTGGTGCTTTAAATACAGATATGCAGAAGAAGAAGGCAGATTCCTTTCTTCTGTGTGTGCAGTGGGGGTAGGGCGGGCAGGTATCAACTGGGGTCGAAATGCCTGCATTTCGATGATCAGTGTGTGCACCTTTTCTTCCAGGCAGAACCATGCTAAGCATCTTTCTGGAATGCCTCCACGGGAGACCTAATTTATTATATATAGGCGGGAAGCACGAGGCTCGTATTACAGCCGGTTTTGATTTGCCCCATCTTGTCAGGGCGTAATGATTCCATTTCATGCTTGGTAAATCACATATTTTCATTGAACAATGACTAAATTGTGTTGGAAGTTTTAAAATGAAGTCATTTATGGACTGGCTGAGGTCTTAGGGCTCTAACACACCCAACAGGTGAACTGCCTTTTCTTTTCTTTTTTGTTGTTGCTTCCCGTGTTCACGGAGCTTGAACAGCTATAGTGGGGATTTTCTCCCACCTTATTCAGCATTACTTTTGGGGTGAGAGCAAATCTACAAGAGCGAATTTGAAGAGGAAAAACCTTTCTAATAATTAAAGTCACCACAAATGGGGAGGGGCTCTGTGCACTTTCAGACCAGGTCTGTAAGGCGTGGCTGCATTCCTTCCCAGAATCACAGAGAAAGGGGAACATTTCCCTCTTAAAAGAGAGGAATCAAGAGGTTCATGTCACTTTGGAAAGTGTCCACACCTTTGTTCTTGATGGCTGTGCAATGGAAGGGGGCCAGGCCTCTGGCTTGTTCTAGCAGGGGCTTTTCTATTCTGCTCTTGATGAACAAGACGTTGTCAACAACAAGATGGCATTAGGGAGCCATGGGGTGTTTTCATGTCTGGTCCCCTTGCGCAGTCTGCAGCCAGCCCTGGTGTGGCTATGGTGGGGGGATCATGCTTTCTGTGTCAGAGTGCCCGGTGTCCCACGAGGCCCGTGGTCTGAACTGAAGTGCCCCCTGACATTTGCTTTTTTCCTTTACAAAGAGAGAGAGTGCCAGTGTCCCCATGCACGGCTGTTCCAAGAGGTGGCTGAGTGCCTCTCCACCCCCAAAGCTTAGGTCTGCCCCGAGGTGAGGGTTGTATGCACCCGCCCCCCCCCCCCCCCCCCCCTCAAGACTTCCCCACTCAGCCTCCCCTGAAGCTATATTCCTCCTTGCTAGACTGCAAGTGTCCGCCGGGTGGTCCGATTGTTGGTGGACACGCAGAGTTTTGTCCCCGCCTT